TATTTTTTTAGTATTTTGAGTCGTGTCGGGTCGAATTTCTAATTCATATATTAAATAAAAATAGTTTTTGGTAACTAATTAACATACTCCGATTAGAATGTATTGAAATATTGCTATATCTTTTGGTAACTTATTAACATATTTTGATTGCGATGATTTTAACTTATAATGTTTATTAGCATGATTTTTATAATTTATTAAAATGAATAATCAATCAATAAAATGAAAATTTAATATTTTTTTAATTTTTATAATATATTACTACATGTAAGTTATAAAATAAACTAAAATAAAGCAAAAAAACAAGAAGGGTAATTCTGTCATTTTACATTACTGAAATCAAATTCATCTGACATGTCTGCGAACCAAACATAATATGGAATTGGATTCAATTCCTATAGATTCCAATTCCTTCACAGATTCTAATTCTCTCATAAACATTCCAACGAACTAAACGCCACCTAAAATGTAGGAGGAAACATTTTGAGGGCACCACTTCTGTAGGAAGATGATAACGGAGTCAACCAATCAAACAGCTTATTTTTTGGTATAACCATTAATATTATAAATTTAATATATTGATCGATTAATTTAAATTAAATATTATATAAATTTATTATAAAGATGATTTTCTCAATATAATTTATTTCATTCATAATACTAAAATTTCAACCTTTGATATTGACTAAAAAATCTAATATCTTATTATATTATATCATTATATCAATTGATTATTAATAGAAAAAAATCTATTTAAGAAATAAAGAAAGTTAAAATAAATAAAAAAGCATCTGAAACAATAACACAAAAGCCAGAAAAATAAAATCAAAATAGATCGAAATGTCTCTACTGCTAACCGTAAGAACTCCAAAATCAAGGTAAAATATTTTTTAATTAATCATTGATATCTGATTATTTATTGATTAATTCAGATTAAATATTATAAAGATGAGAATAATTTTTTAAATCCAATTTACTCGTTCACAAACGTTAACATCTGAACCATTTGATCAATCAAATTGAGGACTAGAAGATACGTTTAGTTGAATATGTAATATACAATAAATGTGGATGTCATATAAAAAATAATTCATTGCCCACGTGATTATTTTATAAAGTCTAGGCATATCAAATATTTGATTGACTTTATATCATTTAAATAGACTGCAGAAAGGAACCGAAAATCCTAATTTCAATATAGTTTTTCATTTATCAAATTAAATCGGTTTGCAATTTGCAAATTTTAATTTCCTTCACTTGCGAGAAAATGATATTATTATTTATTATCGACTAATCTAATAATTTTTTTGCTATTTATTTGTTTATGCATTTGTACATCTTTCTTATGATATATACGATCGTCTTCATATACGACTTTAACATAAGGTTATATTTTGCTCCTACAAATTCACTAACAACGTCACCAAAAGATCTAGAATTCGTCAAAACATCATCCGTCAAATATTTAAGAACAATATTTAAATATTATAATTAAACATGAACCAAGCGATTTCATCGGTTAAAAGATGATTATTATTCGTTGAAATTCTAGATTCGAACACTTTAACTGTAGAAATATGCAAGTGTTCTTTATTAAATAGTTGAAATTATTTTAAACAAATATTGCTATATAATTACTCTAACCTAATAAGAAAAATAGTATAATTGAATTTTATTTCAACAGATGAACATTAATTCCGACCCAGATCTGGCAGTTGAGAGGATATATAGAGAAATGATAATGTTCATAATTAAAATGCGCCCTACTGTTTCCTCGTTGTTTTATTATTATTAGTTATGCGCAGTGCGAATCACATGATGAATTAAATACTATTAGTTCGGTCCATCTTCAAGCTTTCACAAGACAAAATATAATCAAAGTTCTCTCTGATTCCATATGATTAAAAATAATTTATTAAAGAAGACATTGAAATTGGAAAATTCCACACCCTTTTTGGTCTGAACATACCGATTGATGAATAATTTGGATGATTACTCGTGAATACAAATATTCTTTATTTTATTTTATTTATTTTGCGTAGTTTATTGGAAAAGAAAAACTAGAACCTAATTAATTTAATTACTTGACACTCGTAGTTGCTTAATATCGTAAGAGATATGGTACGACAGGTCTGAAATCTCCTCTCAATTATAACACCTTGTTTTTCTAAATCATTTTTCTTTTAATCTTCGGTCACAAGAAAAAAGATGGGTAAAGTAAATAAAAAGTCCACTTACTATAGAGTTCTCCTTTTGAGTCCCTCAACTATTGAAAGTTATAAAATAATACTTCGACTATAAGACATTATTTTGTTGGATCCCCGATAATTAAAAGTTATAAAATAGTCATTCGACTATTCATATGTTCCAAACTCATCATTTTTCATTAAAAATTATCGGTCGTCTGAACTGGACGTTAACATGCTCACTGGATACGATCAAAATATGAATGCGAAACTATTTGAGTTGTATTTTGTGGACCTAGTCTCTGTTTACATTATGACTTATGTCATTGAGTCTAGGGATGGACATGGGTCGGGTTTGGGTATGGTTTCTGCCAAACCAACTCGACCCAAAAATTTTACATCCTTCACATGATCTGACCCGACCTGACCCGAAAAATATATACCCTCCACTCAACCTGAACCCGACCAGATTTTTTGAGATAAAATTTGAACTTGATCCGACCCAAAATAATAATAAAAAAATACTTTTATTCAATAAAAATAGTGATTTAATTGAAAATATAATATATAGAGAGGGGTATTATTGTAATTATGCATGAATATATAAGGTAAAATTATATATTTTTTGGGTCGGGTTGGGCCTTTTTCACTCTAAACACAAACCTGACCCGAACATCACCTTTAAAAAACGACATGATCGGATCTAATCAGATCATAACCCGTTGGGTTCAGATCCCATATCCATCCCTAATTGAGTCAGTGCTTGAAAGCAATAACGGTGCCAGTAGACATCATTAAAATAGATTTTTTTTCCATATTTCAATTAGAATGTTAACGTCCAACTGAGACACCATCAATATTTTAACGAAAAATGACGAGTTTAAAACATATCAATAGTCGATTGATTATTTTATAACTTTTAATAATTGAAGGACTTGACAAAGCACTGCCATATAGTCGAGGGATGATTTTGTAACTTTAAATAATCAAAGGACTCAATAAAATAATATATTATAGTCGGAGATTATTTATGTATTTTACCCATAAAGTTTAGGTAATGGGAAAATACTTAGTCCATGGTTAGGGTATGTCACCGAGCTCCTACACCGACAACATAAAAGAGTTGAATGTGATACTTATAAATTATATATCAAGTAATATTATTTATAAAAATAATAAGTATTTGATCAAATCAAGTAATGAGTATTATAAAAAATTAAATTTAATAAAATTTAAATTTTTATTTTTATTTTTTTTCTTTTATAGGTGAACTCCAAAATTATGTGTGCATGTCTTATGCACTCTCAAATTCAAATAGAGGTTGAGGAGTGGTTGAGAGATTGATAACCGTCCTTTGAACAATTTTATTCCCTTTGTTATCTTTATAAAAGGGAAATCTTTCCCTTTTTATTTTACATATTGAAGTATTTACTTTTTTTTCTCTTTCAAAAAAAGAATAATTTCAATTAAGTTTCATCCCTACTCGGGTGTATAAATATAGAAGCTTTGTATTAAAATTGTGAGCAAGGATGTGCATGTGTCAGGTTTCGGCCAACCCAACCTGACTAAAAAATTTTATATCCTTCACCTAATCCCGTAAGCTTTGTCTAGGGTGGACACTGAAATCCAAATTTCTTTATATTATTAGTTCATTTTATTGAAGATGTTCGCCCTGAAATTTTATTTGTGTCTATCCTATACAAAAAAATTTATATTATTAATATATATGTGCTAACCCTAAAAAATATTCCTGGATCCATCACTCTTAACACTCAAATACAACGAGCGTCCGAACATCAATTCCTCTGCAAAAACTTTTGGAATTGGAATTGATATCTACATTCGCCTCAGTGAAACGAAGCTCAAACATTTCGATGAGGTGAGCTTTTGACTCGAATTTTGTCAGCCATGTGATATTATATCATATACCATACCATGCGTGTTTCGAATGAGTAGCCAAAATTCACATGACTGTCACCTTTATCATGGTGGGCTCATCAGAAATATTGTCATATGCATGCATGGTGTGGGACAAGTTTTGCCCAATTGTGATGTATCCAACAAAAATGTCTGGATAACTTTAGAGAGAGACAAAACAACAATGATTCACACTTTTCCCATTCCATTACAGTAAATTAAGACTTAAAAAAGTTGTTAGAATTTGAGCTGATGCGTTTGTAGGGTTTATATTATAAATGACCAAGAAAGATTCTAAATTGATACCGCTTGTAATCATCCCAAATTATTAAAAAAAATTGTTGGGTTCAGATAAACATGTAAACTAGTCAAATTCTTCTCCGTTAATTTTTCATCTACTATTATTCAGTACAAACTTAATCATCATTTATAAGTATGATCTATACGTAAACAATATTAGAAGCACATCAGAACAGATATCAAGCTTATGTAGCAAAATACATCAAGGAGACGGAAGCAACCTATGTAAATCTGAAAGCATCAATAAGTTGTTGAAAGTGAAACAAGAAACCATGAATTTCAGTTCCTTCATAAGCACCTGGATTACAGAATTTCGATATCGAAAATAACTCGAACAAGTTTCATGAGAAAGCTTCAAGCAATATCTCGTTTTTCAGCTGTCTTGTTGCAACAGATTTTCGGAGACGATGATGTTGTCATGCCTGAGAAAAAGAATTTTGCAATCTCTTTTGCAACTTGGTGTGAGAATGAGGAAAAAGAACTAAGGAAAACATAACTGAATACAAACTTCCATACATGTATCTACCACTGATTACCTTCCTATATAGCTATGGGGAAAACATGGTATTGGACAAACTGCCTTGGATTCGATTAAAGAATGAAAATCTTTACTTCATACACGTTAAAAGTGACAGCCGCAACACAAGTGGCGAGGTTCATTGTAATGACAGCCTACAATAGACAATGCCCCCTAAAGAATCAAAGAGATTTAGAAGATAAAAGGCATGGAAAAATGTGATCAATAGGGAATGTCTCCATCTGGCATGTCCCAATTATCTTCATCATCTTCATCCCTCTTCTTTGTAGATTCTTCTTGTTTGTTTAGGTTTGAGAATCTTGCTTGAGGACGCCTAAATTATAGTGCATGGGAGAAGATAGCCATCACTAATCATTTTCAACCAGATATTACCAACTAAAGATGAACACAAGGTGCCTCTAGCATTGGCATTTACTTGAAGAAACATAGTTTTAACCAAAGAATACAGCAAAAAAAAAAAAAAAAATAGATTGAACGTTGATCCTAAACTCAACAAGAACAATAAATATGCTAGACATTCACAGAGATTCAGAGCTGAATAGAGATATAATGCTCTATGATACGCATATTGGTTTGAAAACATGCTTTTCTTGAACACAGCTACTCTACATTGGTGGCGGATGCAAAGCATGTCCAGGGTGGGCACGAATCTGAATTTCTTTATATTAATTATTATTTTTACTATCGGTGACCACCATAAAATTTTATTTATGCACATCACATATGAAAAAAACTCAATGATTAATATATGAGTGCCCATCTAAAAAATATTTTTGGACCCGCCGATTCTACATGCTCAATCTTGATGTCTTCATTCTATATTTGGATTTGGAAGACAATTACATGGAGAATGCTCAACTCAACCAAAGAAAACTACACAAGCTTCAATTTTTATGGCTAAGACACAAATACCCCAACAGTAGAAAAAACCCCCAAAAATTCCATACTAAAAGAAAGATCAATGCTATTCAATTGAACAAAAGTCCAAACAAAATAAGCTAAACATAAGAAAAAATATCCAAAGTTCCTTTTTTTTCACTTTGTTATTCTTCATTAAAAAAGGGGGAGGGGGCCTTTACCTTCTACGATTACGCTTAGCAGCCTCTCGTGACTTGCGTTTCTTCTCATCTTGCTTATTCTCAAAGAACTTCCTTCTCTTACACTCTTGAATAACGCCAGCTCTCATAACCTCTCTTCTGAACCTGTTAAGCAGCCTCTCTTCAGGCTCATTGTCATCCACAATGACCTGAACATTATAAGCTGATCTGAAGAAAAGGGTATTTGCATATGCAAGAGAAGGGGATATAACAGATAACAATTCAGTGGATAATGGAGATGATTGATCCTCTTGAGCTGACACTGAAAGGGCAGTGTTTTTGGGTTTTGGGGAAGAAAGTGAGAGTCTGTTGAATGGTGGAGCTTTGGAGGGTGGAGGTGTAGTGGAAGGTAAAAGGAAGGAGATGAAGTTTGAGAATGGAGCAGCCATTGTTTTGGAAGGCATGAGCTTCAGTTTGTGGATAGGGGAATGCTATTGCCTTTGCTTATTTTGCAATCGTTAATTTTGAGGCTATTAGGTTTTGGGCTAAATTTTATGTGATTTTATCTAAGAAGCTTTGGGTCATAAAAGTTTTGATTGGATCCAATAAATATTAGTATTCAGTAACAAAATTTATTGACTAATAAAAAAAATTAATCACGCATGCAGTGTTTAATTTCCACATTAATTTTTCAATAAATATAATAAAATAAAATTTATAATATATTCAAGATTATATTTATTTGTTACAATATTGATGTTTCTTGTTTTGGACTTTTAGATTAGATTTAGATACAATGTTTGCGTTCGTAGATAGTTTACTCACGATGCTTGGTTTCGATTTACGTTTGTCGATGGTCTTTTAGTAGTTTAATCTCATGTTGTGTTTCGTTTGTTGATGCAATTATATTTGTTCGTATTTATCTTTTGTTGAAATTTTTAAATTATTTTTTCACATTTTCCTTATGTGGTATGTGTAAGATCTCAATTAGTCAGTTTCTTGTATCAATGATTATATAATAATGTCTTAATTACGTGTTTAGTTTACGAGTACAATTGTAAACTTTTATTTTAATTTTAAATATTTTCATCAACTTAAATAAAATTAGCTACTTCTGTTGTAAAAAAAATAATACATTTAAAAGTCATATGATTTCACGTAATTATCTTATTAGTGAAAAATAATTTATTAAGAAAAATCACATCATCTGTCACCTTACCTAATAACGTTAGTAATTATTTTGTTAATTTTAAAAATTTAATGAGGAAATATAAACTTATTTATATTGCAGTGTCCATTTCTGTAATTTATCCAATTTTATAATAAACCTTTGAAACAAATCATTAATATCATTAAATAAACATGAACCAAGTCGGGTTTTAGATGCGGTAGGTAACTCCACCCGTAATATTGTAGCAGGCTGAGCCCGGTCCTTTTTCTAGGTCGGGTTCGAATTCAGGCCCGGGTATAGATGTTTGGTAAATGGGGAAAAAAATACTCAACATGAGAGAGAAAAGGAAGAAATTGGGAGAGAGAAGAGACGAACTCTCTGTGTAGCTGCTGATCTTGGAAAGCCAAAGACGCTTAAAATCTTTTTCACTCTTTCGTAAGATCATTTCCTCTTTTTCGTTTCCTTTCTTTTTTTTCAATTTAACGTTTCTAATTCTCTCTTTCAAGTTTATATTATTTTCCTTAATCTCATAATGTAATTCAAATTCTTCATTTCTTGCAGTTTTCATCTTTGTTTCCCCTTAATTTTTCCCTTTGTTTCATATTAGAAGCTTTTTTGGGGGGTAAAATTTAGATCAAATTCAGCGCCTCTGGGGGATTTTTGCAAAATTAGGGCTTTTTTGGGAGGTTTAGGTGCCCTTTAAGGTTGAGCTTCTGAAGGTTTTAATTTGAAGGGAATTATTGCTTCTTTGGGTTTTCTTGGTTAGTGGATGTTTGCTGATATAGCTTGCAATTTACTTTGTTGCGGATGTTTTAGATCTTGGTGGATATTTGAGATTTCCGGGTGAATTAGATTACTAATGTCTATGAATGGGAATAATCCCCCAAAAGGCCTTGGGGCGTCTTCATCACCCTTTGGTAACACGGGGATGGTGCCTGCTCCTATGCCTGGAAACCCTGGATTCTCACAAGCACAACTCGGTGCTGGTTTTCAAGCTCAGTATCAGCTATCCCAAGCTCAGGCCCTTGCTCAGGCTCAGTCGAAAGCTCAGGCTCATGCTCAACTCCAAGTACATTTACAAGCTCAAGGTTTGTCCCTTAACCAGGTTCAGAATGCTGCCATTGGGAATTTAGGTTCGTCTTCGCCTTCCATGTCTACTCCTGGCGGTGCAAATGCAAAGAGGATCCTTCAAAAGCCCCCCATGCACCCTCCTGGCGTCCCTATGATGAACACAATATCACCTTTGAGAACAATGGAACTTACACCCGCTGCACGTAGAAAGAAGCAAAAGCTTCCTGACAAACAGCTACAAGATCAAGTGGCGGCAATTCTTCCCGAATCTGCTTTGTATACCCAGCTTCTTGAGTTTGAGTCACGTGTTGATGCCACATTAGCCAGGAAAAAAGTTGACATTCAGGAAGCACTTAAGAATCCACCTTGTGTTCAGAAAACTCTTCGAATATATGTTTTCAACACATTTGCTAATCAGATTAAGACTATTCCGCAGAAGCCTAATGCAGAGCCTCCTACGTGGACCCTGAAGATAATTGGGAGAATCCTAGAAGATGGAGTAGATCCAGATCAACCTGGGCTTGTTCATAAAACAAACCCTTTATACCCAAAGTTTTCATCTTTCTTCAAGAGAGTGACAATTTCCCTGGACCAAAGACTATACCCAGATAATCATATCATTATATGGGAGCATGCTCGATCACCTACCCCTAATGAAGGTTTTGAGGTGAAGAGAAAAGGGGATAAGGAGTTTACTGTGAATATAAGGTTGGAAATCAATTATGTGCCAGAGAAGTTCAAGCTTTCTTCAGCTTTGATGGAAGTCCTTGGTATTGAGGTTGACACACGCCCCAGAATTATTGCTGCAATTTGGCATTATGTGAAGGCTAGAAAACTTCAAAACCCAAATGATCCGTCTTTCTTTAATTGTGACCCGCCACTTCTTAAAGTTTTTGGGGAAGAAAAAGTGAAATTTATCATGGTTCCACAGAAGATATCACAGCATTTGTCTCTTCCACCACCCATCCATTTGGAGCATAAGATCAAGCTTTCTGGGAATAGTCCTGTTGGGACTGCATGCTATGATGTGTTAGTGGATGTGCCCTTTCCCATACAGAGGGATCTGTCTGCTCTTTTGTCAAATGCAGAAAAGAGCAAAGAGATAGAGGCTTGTGATGAAGCAATATGTGGCGCCATAAGGAAAATTCATGAGCACCGTAGAAGGCGGGCATTCTTTTTAGGTTTCAGTCAATCACCAGTGGAGTTTATTAATGCATTAATTGAGTCTCAGAGCCTGGATGTGAAAATGGTAGCTGGGGAAGCTAGTCGAAGTGCTGAAACAGAGCGACAATCAGATTTCTTCAACCAACCATGGTAAGTTCATTTTTCTGTTTAGATAAAGTTGTTATTGTTGAATTTTGGATCATTTACTTCAAGTTTAAAACCTAGCCTTTCACTTTAAGATATTCAGTAAATTCCACTGATGAATGATAATATCATTTTTCCTTGTTTTTTTTTCTTTTGCTGGAGACAGCTGACAAATCAGTCATTATATGTTTAATCCATACCGGCATCTTGTTTAAGATTTGAGATTTACTCATAAAAATTTTGAGTGACAATTTTCAATACTTGAGATAAATTTGTTAGCTGGTCTGAGTAGTCCACTCTTTTGTATATATTACACATGCTTGGATTGGATTACATTCACATGCTTTCTCTAAATTAATTTCTTATAGAAAACCTTTTGAGAGCAATAATGGTGATAATAATATTTGTGAAGAATGAAGATCAATCAAGTTTCTCTTTTGGTGACTCTAACAGGGTCGAAGATGCTGTTATCCGCTATTTGAATCGCAAGCCAGCTGCTGGAAGTGATGCACCAGGAGGCATTTGAACCATGGTTCCGAAGCTATAATTGGCACCTGGTATGTTCTTTCATTGATTTGAATTCATGTATCAATAGGAGACCCATTCCTTCGAATGGGAATAGAATGGTAATGTTGTTGGATGGCAATTGGGAGGGATGTAGAAAAGGAAGTAGCTTGTTTAGGCATAAATATCATCAAACTTTTTTACCTAAGAAAAGTAGAAATTAGCAAGAAAGTTTTTATTTTGTTTAAAATTGTAATTATATGTGGTAGATTCATGGCTGCTTTCTTGGTTTGACATCAATGTTTCTTCTTGGTTTATATCATGGAAATGCAGTGTTTATGAATGCCGATTGACAACTGAAAATGCTCAATTATTATATTTGGTCGATTATTATCATAGGCAAGTAAGAACAATAATTTTTTTACCAAATTTACCCTTGATGTAAATATTTTTCGCAGGTATAAAACAAAAGTGCCGAGGGTGTCTGAAGTTATAGTTTGATTTTTTTTTCCTATTAAAGAAGTCAACAATTTAGATACTCCAAAATGATCACATATAACACTATGAAATCGTGCAAATCTTTAGAAGGAACCATGTTGCAAAGCTTTATGTTTCCTCGATGGTTTAAACTTTAGTTGCATAAAATTTTTTTAGATGTTTAATAGTTTCAAATATTGTTATATGAGGAGTTATTATTATGTTTTTTTTTTTGAAATTTTTGTTTTTAAAAAAGTATTATTTAAAAAACATTTCAAAAAAATTCCTCTCCTCAGTGTCCCCCATCGTAGACCCCCACCCCCTTCATCCCCGCTGAAAGATCCGTGGAATTGGGCAATTCCACCAGCACCTTTGCATCAAACGTATTACACCCTTAATTTAGGGATTTAGGGGATTAGGTAACAGTATGGAAAGAGTGGAGTAGTGCATGGGTAATCGTACGACTATGACAACAGTGACCGATGATAACTGATGACGATTATGTTTCAGAACGGCAAAATTGAGAGAAATTTTAAAGAAATTTGGGTATTTTCTAAAAAATAATAATATTTTTATTTTTTTGAACAATATGATATCGGCATCTCAATTAACGGCGAAAAGTTAATAGTAAAATTTAAGGTGTAACGTTAGAAAGGTTAAGCATATATTTTGAGCAAAGAATTTTTTAGACACATAAAATTAATTTTAAATATAATTTGAACTCTTATTTTTACATAAAATCTTAGTTGAAAATACAAAAGAATCCATTAATACAGTACCACGAATAAAGCCAACAGAACTATTTTTAACTATACGAACGGTAAAGCGTGTGCCACATATATCAGGATGCTAGCCAGGTTATTAGTTCATTTTACATATTTGAGTGGCCGACGCGGACATGAACTCGATGCCATGAAGTGTTGAGAATCCCCCTTAGGTTCCAAATACCTTGCACCTTTTCAGTTTGGACGTTTGCAGCC